ATCTTGGGCAGCTTCCAGTGGTTAACATGTCCAAGGAAGGTAGCAATCTTGCCTAGTTGCTATCAACCAAATCCAAAAAAGACAAATTCCTACTGTTCTTATTCTTGGCTATGCATATTTGGTGGAACAAATGCAGGATTTATCTATTGGCTGGCTTCAGTGTGACCCTGACCCGCTTTTTATGCCTGAGTATTACCCCTTACCGGGATTAATTTCTTATTGGGTAAGTGAAAGTTAATAATTATTAAATAATTTTGATTTGAAAATAAAGGGAGTGTCTATATGATGTTAGCAATAAATTAAGAGAAGCCTGTTGTAAATTATTAATTTTTATGGCTGATAAAAAGGCTACTTTTGTGTTAGAAGCGCTTTGTGGTACTGATCTATGGATAGTCAAGTCAAGCATCCAAAAGGAAAATCTAAAGAAGTTATAGATTGATTCGTCTTCAAACATTAATACTGATCATATTTGATAGTCATCACTAGGTTTCTGATTTATGAAAGATAATTTATTCCCTTTTCAAAATGTTGTAGTTTCCTTGGAAAGAGATAGCAATTTTACCGGTACAATGGCATGCCTTGTGGCTGGGACTATTTGCTTCCATAATAGCCCCATTCGGAGGATTTTTTGCGAGTGGTTTTAAAAGAGCTTTTAAGATCAAGGTTTGTATATAGTGCTTCATGGTAAAGTATTTTCGCAACCTTATCCCTGTCTCCTAATCTCCTCCAATCAATACAGGACTTTGGTGATAGTATACCTGGACATGGTGGATTCACTGACAGAATGGACTGCCAGGTAAAAGATTAACTCTTGGTAGAAATCTACATGGGCAAAACTCTGTTTTACGACATTCTTTTGCCGTTTTAATATCACTTCTATTGTATTACTGTACGGTAATTATCATACATCTGCTATGTTCTTTTCCTTTGTCTATAATTTAGTTCTGTTTTGCCCCATTAACGCACATTGTTTATTGAGTTGGGAAAAATAGGACCTTTCCTTTCTTTTTTGTGTCTGATTAAGCTTTATAGGTGAAGAAGTCATTCATAGGTAAGGAGTCAGTATTCAATACACCTTGCCAGAAAGTTCCCTTTTATTCTGTTACTTAATGATGATTATAACGATCACCACTTAAAAAAAAAAAAAAAAAGTGTCAATTCTACCACGCTGACGTGGACAAGTTAACAAGAGCTTTTATTTGACATGGAGGTCAGCTCTGAGTCAAAAAAGAAAAGAGGTAAGCTCGGCCATGTCCATGAGTGTTCTTTTAGTGTTGGCTACATAGAATCCTATTAACTAATTAACTATTAACTAATTGGATTATATATTTGATTGAAGAGTCTATTTTTTAGATTCGTGTGTTTTATTTTGTGCATTGCATGTTTTCAGATGGTAATGGCTGTTTTTGTATACATCTATCATCAATCATTCGTTGTTCCCGAAGACTATTCAGTTGACATGTTTCTAGATCAGGTGAGCTTTTCATTTCAGTGAGAGTTTGATTTTACGTTGGAAACCAACCACCACAATTATACTTTTTGTGCCAACATGAAACCAAACATGCTCTGAATAATCTCAGAATACGTGTAAATTAGAGGACCTTGTTTTCTTCTCCATTTCTTTCATTTTCAATGCTGCATGGATCATCTAGATTTAATGAAGGGCTGCCTATTCATCTTTGATTCTAGTGTTGCTAGCTTGTGTGGGTCTTTTGTTCAACACTACTGAGCAGGAAAAGCCGAACACAGCTTGAGGCCCAAATAAATAAATAAGAACTTGGTCCAAAACAGGAAGTAAAGTTCGTTTTCATCATTTGGGTTGAAAAGTGAAATGCCATCTACTACTAAGTAAATGCCTAGAAGTTTAAGGCTGCAGAATAAGCCTAACTTGATCCACTCGAAACTAGAAGTGAAAACACTGTTAATGAGGTGGCACATTTGGGGACAGCAGAAAATTAAAAATAATTAACTTTGTATGTTTTGAAATGTTGTGTAGATAACTAGGAACCTTTCGTTTGAGGAGCAGCAGGCTCTTTATGGAAAGCTTGGGCTGATATTACGTGAAGGGCATTTTATCTGAGTCAATAACGTTCCACCTTGGTCTCATTGATATTACATTACCTCTCAGAACTGCCCGGTGGAGAGACTGGAGAAGTTTGTCTGTGTCAGGCTTTTCTATCTGGTGAAGTGCATTCATCAGTAGAAAGAAGCAATGTTTGCTTGTATGTTGCATCACTTCATTAGTCGCGTGGCTAAACACCAATGATCGAGGACCACTGCATTTGAGATTAGTGATATATATTAGTGATATATATATATATATATATATATATAAGGAACTATTTGATTCTGATGTTTAAAGAGCTAATCTTTTTCTTTTTCTGGATGAATATGGGCTACTACCCCCCAAAAGAGAATAGTCGCATACAGTGAAAGCATTAATCAGAGAAGTCTCAGAACAGAAACATGTAATTATACTCAGCATCTTGTCTCTCGAAAACAGCAATAAAGAGGTCATTTTTGATGAAATACACACACACACGTGATGTGAGGTCAGGTTACATTTCTTGGGAGGGGCTGCTTTTTGATTCAGATACACAAAGTTATGGGTAGGTTAGTTCGAACACTGTTTGATTCAAACATAATGATAATGATAATAAAATCGTACAATGTAATTTCGTGATTCTTTCACGTGTTTGTGTGATTCTCTCAGCACGTTCTCTTAACCAATACTTTTTTTAAGATAACATGATTTTGTGCTTTATTTTAGCCGAACGAATTCTAAATGGACTAGGGGACCGATACCTAAAAATACAATACTCCCTTTAGGTTTTTATCCCCAAAAAAAAAAAAAACACTAAGCCATAACTTAAAGAATATTATTAAGATCAATAAATATGTTTTAAATTAATTCGAGATTCTTTTTTTTTTTCTAAAAATGTCCTGACATAATGATTTTATATTTAATGATGCTAATGATGCTAAGACCGTGAATGAAGGTAAAAAAAATATAAAATTTTCAATAAATGCGCAAGATAAAAGTATTAAATACTAGTTGTTTGTCAGTGCTAGACTTTAAAAAAATTGTATCCAATCCATCATGTTTTGCCGGTAAAAAAAAATAGTCCATCACATTCAATATAGTACCCATATTTATGAATCATAAAAATATTTTTAAAAAAATCATAGTAAATTAATTTAAAGATACCATCATTTAAACTTTGAACATGAGTTGGGAAAACGGGCCAATCTGACCTTGTAAGACTAGCCTTTGAAAGATTTGGGCCTAAAAAGATTAGTCTTTTTAAGTTTGAGTTCCCTTTAAGACCTTGATATATGAAGCTCGACTCTCGACATAGCGGGCTTAAGGCCAGCCCTGCGAGCTCCAGGCGCTTTTAATTATTTTTATTTTTTTTTCAAATTTTTTAATAAAAAATTACTTTATTTCAATATAACACCCAATTAAGAAAGGTGCAACAAACTAACTAAATAACATCTAAATGAACTAAAAATACAAATGGAATGATAGTAAGGTAATAAGCAATAGATCGGCTAAACCAACAAACATCCAATCGAAATTAGATGAGAGTGAGCCTTGAAAGACTGAAATATGGGACTAGGAGACCAAGGAAAACAAAGAGCACGGCACAATATGTGTATTAGATAGAGCTTAGCTCATGAGTCATGAATGTACGAGTATGATAAGTGATAAGAGAACTTGGGAGATCGATGACAACGTGTTTCAACTAGTCGAGTATTGTTGAGATTTGGTTTTTGGGAGGGAGCACATCAGAGTGAGCAACAAGGACAACTAAATAGTGAGCAAAAACAGGAGCAAGGATGACAGGGACGAAATAGCGATGCGATGACTTGCTGAAAAACAAGGACAATTTATAGTGACAAAAAAGCGAGAAGTATATTGAAAAAAGAAGAGTAAATGTTAAAGTGAATGAATTATTATCGTGAATCTAGATGAACTAGAGATTTAATGTTGTATTTTTTTTTAGAAAATAGCAACCAATGATTTCTTTATGAAATTTATATCAATTAAGAATCAATTATTATCAAAACCTGAATGAAAAACAAGCTATAAGGAATTATTGTTAATTTAAATTGAGTAGTTATTAAAACTTAAATGAATACTTATTGATAAAAACTAACCCGAATCCACAAGTATCTATTCAAATTTTGACAATAAGTGATTCTTGACTGATATAATTTTCGATTAGTGACTCTTCATTGTTATTTTCCCTTTTTTTTGCCTTCCATCTCAATAGATATAGGCTGACATATGATGTGGAGTTAGATTTAGTTTATTTTTTTTCAAATCTAAAAAGAGTGAAAGTCATGAAATTAATTAAAAAAAAATATGCATATGCAGGCTTCAAAAGGCTAGCCTTAAGTCATGCAGGGTTAGCCCGTTTAAGTCCTAAATTAAACGAGCTTAAACAGGCTAGCCGATTTAAGTTTGATTTTTCATTTTGGAGTCATATTTGCAAGCCCAACCCTACCATTATACGAGTTTAAATGGGCTGACTCGACGGATTCGGCCTGTTTTTTCGACACTGCTAATCCAATTACTAGTATCTCACAACAAATATGCTAGTCATAAAAATATTTTAAAATGTAATGTAGCCCTTTATTTGGAAAAACAATTGTATATATTTTAAAAATAAATCAATATTTATATCATTTCAATAAAATGCAAATGATATTAATATACTAATAAAGTTGAGCAACTTTTTAATTATATTTAAATTAGATTAAAGCTGAATAATTTTTTTAAATATTTTATTTAAGATTAATAAATATAATATTCTATATGTTAAAAAATATATGCATAATTTTATTATAATTAAAAATATAAAAATTAATATTAAATAATTGTTATAACTTATTAAAAATATCACTATCGTAAAAGTCAAAAATATCTTTTTATTATTAAAAAAGAAAGCATTTTATCTTCCAAGCTCCAATGGTGTCAGCATTTAGTTGGATGTCAGTTCAAGCCGAGACAAGCAAGTAGTCCTCAAGAGGCATCAGCCACACCAGAGCTGTCACTTCACTTTTCTCCCTCCGATTGCCTTCGTGTCAACCATCCCTCACCGCCACCCAAAAACCCTCTCTCCTCCTCCTCCGTTCGCCGCCACACATGGAGGCGGTCGGCTCTCGGTTGGGCCGAGCATCCTCCCGCTACGGTGCTCCCACCGTCTTCACCGGCCCTGTCCGTAAGTGGAAGAAGAAGTGGGTTCACGTTTCTCCCCACTCCTCCGCCTCCTCCGTTCCCTCCCATAGCTCTCACCACTCCCAATCCAACACTACCAACGGCTCCGCCTCTCGCCTCCTCCTCTGCCGCTGGACCCCTATCACTGCCTCCTCCGCTTCTCCTGCCGACAATGACTCTGCAAATGCCTCCGATGAACCTCCCAGGCGGAAGTTCCGCTACACTCCTGTATGGACTCTCTTATCCGTGTAGTCCTTTAATATATTTCTCAGGCATCTTCGAACTTTACCTTTTCTTTCCTGTGGTTTCTGGATGGACGGTAATCTAAAGCCTTTTTTCGGATGAAGTTTGTGGAATACAGTATGAGGCTTGGAGATAAACGGATTTGTGCGTTTTGGATTTTTGAATACGGTTTAGCTTGTGGGTCTTTTAGATATTTGAATACGGCCTTACTGGCTTGTGAAAAGTATTCGTGTGTTACGCTTTTAATCTAGGAGCCAGGGCATAGATCTAAAAACCACAGCTTTCGAAGTGAAATTTATTCCATCAGGTATAATATAAGTGTTCGACAACTGTTAGCTCTACTTTTGTTATGTCCGTGCTTCACGGATATCAAGTTCTGAAGTTTGCACTCTAGTAGAAACAGGGTATTATTATCCTTGCAGTGGGCATGATGCGGTGTGCGCGTACTCGTATGACTTTACTATATTCAACTGGAGTTGGCGGAGCAAGTTCCTCACACAATTCTAGCATCGCTTCATATTTCTTTACTACAGACACAAAATGCAAAAAACAGAGAGAAGAGAAACAGAAATAAGTCAAGAAAATCTAGCATTGAATTATCTTATCTTTAATTTTTAACCTTCATTTTTTTTTTTAATGCGTCATGATTTCCATGTAATCATTATTTGCATTGGGTTTGAGTGTTGGTCAATGCGATCATGCAGATTGCTGTTTTAGAGGAACAGAAAAGGGTGGCTGTTGGAAAGGCTGAAAATGGACCAACGACTGAAATAGGCCAGTCAACAGCTAGACCGACCAGACCGACCAGCATGACTCAAGAGACACGTGGGAAGTTGAACATGAATGAAACCTCAGAGCCAGAGGATGAGACTCAGGTAAAGATATGCTGAATTCTCTGTTTCTGTCATTAATGGTTTTGAACATTTGTGATTTCAAAGTGGGCATAGTTCACTGCTCTTAGTTATCATTTCGTTATTGTTATCATGATCAGGGGCAGTTCGCCATTTTCTTGTTGCATGATTATTTAATTTGTTTAACAATGCTGCTGAATTTTGAAAATATGACTAATCGTATTATCATGTTGTAGAACTGGATAATTTTTTTTTGTTTGGAGAATTTCTAAGGGAATCATTTAAGTTACTGATTGAAAACCGTTGGAAATTCTTATGATCTTTCTTCTAATCTAAGCCTGGATTAGATTTTGCTGGTTTTATCCCTGAATCCTCAATGTTGTTGTTATATTACTGTCCTGAGGTGCAAATAAAATTTTTGTAGTTTCAAGAGTGCAAAACAAGGTCAACCTTAGAATTTTTTTGCATTGCTAGTGATGAGGGAAACAGAAGCAACAAAACACGCACACGCACGTTGTTTGCACTTGTAGTTGTAGGACTGTTTGAATATGTTCTGGGCCATAATGCTCGTGCATAACTCTGCTCTGGCTTTAAGACTCTTGATATTGTGTCATTTATTCAGACTGATTCTGGTCAATTTCTGTGATAGCATGCCATGGAGAACCAGTGCGGAGCCTCTAGTCTAGTTAGCATTTCATTATGATTTATGAGATGCAGATTATGGGAGGAATGAACATCTTTCCTGTGGCTGATGGCAATCACGGGGCATCAGTCTGATGTTTTTCTTTTGTTTGCCTTTTGTTCTTATATTCATGCTAATAGTAGATATTCTCGGTTTGCCAGCGTATTCATCATATAGAGATTCTTGAGTAAATTTGATTCGCAAAAGAATGAGTTGATTAAGATAATCATGCATGAATATATAACCACGCCAAGAAGTGGTTGTGTGAAAAAAGTGTGCCGAACATGCTTGCATGCGTACTTATGATTGTTTAAGCTGCTTATCTTTTGTAACAAGCACAGACATTTGATATAAGAAAGCATGTGTCCATTGCATTCATGCAACAAATCATTATACCATAGGGATAATGCGATCGCCTGTTCCTAGGAAATATGGAGATCACTTCTACAAAGATAGATTGAGATGGGTTGTTTTTGTCAGAGATGGGTAGGTCAAGCCAATTATAAAGAGACAATTAAGTATTTGAACACATCTTTTAGTAAAATTTAAGCGTATTTTTTAATGATTAACGGGTTCAATGTGTCTTTTAAAAGTCAAGTTCAATATTTTTTTTGGCAGCTAGGTGAACCCTCTATGTATTACGCAAAGTTCGAGAAATAAGTTTCATTATGTACTTCAAAGATGTTGATTGATACTTTATATCTGATATAACTTGATGAATGACATTGGCGTCGCAGGAATTAAACATCAATCCGTTGGAGCTTGGTTTAGGCTTCAAAGGTGACGACGATGACGACAGTTGAAACAATGATTAACAATTAAGAACAAGAAGTTCTGGTGGGAGGTCGACGAGTTGAATCTCTGTAAACCTGTTGGCCCCAAAAAGAGAAGTGGAAGATAGAAACTGAATTAGTGTGGAAGTTAAGTAATTCAGGAAAGAGCCGATGTATTATGATGCGCTGCTCTGTGATGGAGTATTTGTATAGATTGGTGTGGTTAGTTATCGTTAGTGTAGGATTAGTAGTGAGTAGCGAGTGTTGGTTGAAAATAGGATCATCATTATCAGTTGTATTTATGGTGCGTTGATTCCACAAATTGAGACTACTCAGTAACAGTAGTGTATGATGCAAAATCTCTTAGGGAAACACGACTGCTCGGTGCGTGCTTGTCAAAATAAATAGCCCGAATTTGTATGTTAGTGATTTTCCATTCAAACTATAAGTTATAATTAACTAATTTAAGATTTATAAATAATGTTGGTTAAAATTTTAAATTTTAAAAAATGTTTATATTTTTTTATTTACGTTTTATTAAAAATTTTATATGAAAGTTTTGGTAATAATAGTTAAAATTTTAATGTGTGATATTTTTTAAATAGAATAATAAATAAAGTAAAAATGTTGTCAAAAGAATAAATATTAAAGTTATTTACTATTTTATATTTTAAATGAGATAAAATATTTAAAAGATGTTTATACTGTGCTGCAAAAGGTTGAGTAATAATTGCCTGCAATCATGGGTCATCTCGTCATCACATACCTGAGCCTGGGTAAGTTAATTCCTGCAAGGCTGCATTTGGCTTTGTGCATGACAAGACGATTAACAGGGGATTGCAATGGAGGCTGCATATGGCTAAAGCACGCGAGTTTGAGACCAGTGCTAGCTGGTAACAAGTTGCTTTTAGTTTTTGTTCTTTAATTTCCATCACGAGTCGTGCCTGAATTACCAGCAGCACAGATACATGGGGGAGTGATGGGGAAAAATGCGTTGAAGAAATTGACTAATAACTTTTTTTTTTTTGGGGGGGGGGGGGGGCAAAATAACTATAACTTCAAGAGTCGAGACATAATTTTTCTCTTCGGTTTTTTCATATTGCTCTTATTATTTAAACAACTTACTGTATACTTACAAGACTTCGTTTACCAAAAAAAAAAAAAATAGACTTCCTAATACTTCCATTTCTTTTCCCCTTTTTCCATCATCTCCAATCCAAAAATGGCCTAAGGTAAGTTGTTAGAAAATTAATTATTTGTTCCATGAAAAAAAAAAAGAAAATTAATTATTTGATTTCTATGATTTTCACTCAATTTAAACTCTAGTCCTTAAGTTTTTAACTTGATGCAAGTCAATCCTGTATACTTAACTTCAATGATTCCATTAAAAATTAGTCTTTCAATTTAAAATTTTGCAATTATATAATTATAATAAACAATTGGCCCTAACATTCAAGAAATAATCTTACCCCTTCTAGTTTTATTTTTATAGTTAAAACTGTAAAAGACTAAGTGTTGAAAATTAGTCCAATCATTAAAACAATTAAAGCATCAGTTCACGAATTAATGATTAAAAACATAATCAAACCAATTATAAACAAAGCATTTTATTGAATTAGTCAAAAATTCTGATTTTTTTTTTTTACCAACTCAACCGGACAAGCCCACAGCAATTTTCATACTATGGTAAAGGCAGATCAAATCGAAGTTCAAGATCTGAATTCTAAATGAGTGAAAACTATTAGCAATAAATAATTAATTTTCCCAAAAATTAATCATTTATTGATTTTACAATAACTGATTTCTGTCATTTACCAGTGTGCGAGTGGATTATAGAGGTAGCGTAAGTGACACTGGCGTTGAAAGACACCTGGAGGGGCTATCCAGGCCAAAAGAGCTCTACTTAATGAATCTGTATAACTTGAAATAGCAACACAACAAAAATCTCAACCATATAATGGCGCCTGATTATTTCAAAACAATACCAGTCTTCTTCTAAGATCAGGACAAAAGAATAAGTCTAATGTGTGGTGGAAAATAAAGTCCTTTAATCTGGAGGAGAAGATTCACATGCTTCTAAACGTACAGATTTCAGTTGTTCCTTCAAACTGAAATACCTCAAACCATATCAAATAAGGTCCCACTCAGTCATTTCTGCATTTTTCCAGAGCCCTCATCAGTCTTTATCTTCCTCCACTGCTTGGGTCACACCGACTTCTGCTGGACGAAGAACTCGATCATAAAGCATATATCCAGCCTGTAAACACAGCCATAGCATTTCTCTCTTAATTCATGGTTACAATATCCTCGATGAACCATTCAAAACAATCCAAGAAAACGACCCCAGGATGACCCCAGTAATTCCATCTTTAGAAGAAACAACTCTCAATGAGAAAGGAATTATAAAGTAAAATATACTAATATTAAAGCAATCTCAATTACATAAAAAAAAAAATCTTAAAGCATATATCCTGCCCGCAACATGCCATAGGAGAGATTTATTCATCACGTTCTCAATCACCTGAAGGAATACAGAACATAACCAAGAAATAGACCATACTTATCCTAGCTTAAGGGAGAAGAAACACCTCAGGGGGAAAAAGGAATTTAAAATGTAAACACCTATCAATAAACAATAACGAAAGCAAAGAAAAAGCCTATCAACGTAGCAACAACTTTTTGACACATAGAAGTCAACCCAGACATTTTAGACATGAAAATACAGGTTAAAAGTTTAGGTGGTCAAAAAAATTTTGTATTCAAAAACAAACTGCTGCTGTTGTATATTACCTTCAGAACGGCTGCAACAGTGCCTGGAGGTTTGGTGCCATCAGGGATTTGGAAGACAGCATTATGCCTGTGTGGATCAAATGGTTCATTCGTAGGGTCAAATTTTTCTACACCAAACTTTCTCAGTACCTGAAAACAGAATCAGTTGTCAACAGCAAAGAGTGAGCCCATGAAGAACTTTTACTGCAAAGCACAATATTTCGAACTCCCATAGATGCAAAACACAAGTTGCAAAAGCTCATAATAAAAATTGGAATTTAAAAGGATTTCTTAAAGAGATATACTTTAGCCAGGGAATTAAATGAAATCACAATAGTTTAAGAATGTAAATTACTCAAACAATATGGATACTGGATAAGTTTTGATTTGCACAATTAACAGCCGCAGAGACACTACATAAAGAGAACTTCCTACCTCAGCTAGCTGTTTATCAGTCATTTCAACACCTTCCAGAAGTGTTTTAAGGATTGGCACTGCACCAGAAGCGTCTTTAAATGTATCAATTTTTGAAAAACTTTCCTTTACGACTGAGGAAGCTCTCCCCAAATTGTCTGCAACATCTAGTAGACTCTTTGCAAAATTCTACAGTACATTAGACATGAGTTAGCACAAACTTGAAAAGGAAATAATTTGGGAGCATGAATATAGGATAAAGGCAAGAGAGAAAAAAGAATACAACAACAAACCTGGACAGCAAATTTTTTTGAATTCTCCGCTTCACGCCTTGTCCTGTCCATGACATTTTCCATCTCTGCATAAGTACGTAGAACCTTATCCTGCATTTTCTCAATCTCTTTGTGCTTCAACTTCAAGAGCTGTTCTTTCTCAGCTACAAGCTTTCTTAAATCATCCCTGGATAAATCACATTCACTCTCTGAATCTGAATCAGAATCAGAAAATGCAGTTCGTTTAGTAGCTCTCCTCCTTTTGCCAGACTCAGACTGAGATTCTGAGACAAAACCTGATTCTTTGGTTTGGTTTGCAGCTTCGGAATTTTCAGCCTGATCACTTACATTTGCTTCATCACTAGTTTTTCCAGGATCAGCACTCGCATTACCCTGTTCCTTTTCATTGGGTTCAGGAGATGCAGATGAAGAAAATCCACATCTTGGAGTAGATGATGCTTTTATGGGTGGCCACAACGAATTGACTTGAACTGGAATCCGCTGAAATTTTATAAAACATACAGGGAATTAAATGAGAATTTTACTAACACACTACAAGATGAAGATTTATAAGTGAAAGAATTGGATGCTGAAGAATATTGATCACTGTGCAATTAACTCTCATAGTGTTATTTACAAAAGAAATGCACGAGATGCGGAAGTCCCATTGGCAATAGCCCCTTCAGCTACAAAATCCAGTTTAAGCCACTAGCAAAAGATTAATTCAAATAATTGAAGTTATAAGATAAAGAGGTCAAGGACGGCTTGTTGCATTTGGATTCGAAGACTAACCATTTAAGTGTCAAAATAAAGTCTTTCCATCACAGGAACCAAAATTAGACAACAAAATATTCATTATCTAGCTCTATAAAAAAAATAAGAAAGTTAAAAAAAAATATATCAACGCAATCGAACATAAGTGAGAAATAGAAAATACACTGAAACAGATGACAAACATGTTGCATGCCTGATCATGGACTCCTTAAAAAGTAAAAACCCGATATTCTACGAACCTCAAAAGGCCTAATCTTATAATCAAATATATCGTGTTTTAGAGCTAGAATCCTAATCTAAGATACCATCACCCCAATAAAAAAAAAAATCGAAAACTCAACCCTTCTTCATAACCAGTGCATAGTCAAAGACAAAACAGTAAAGCAAATTCAAAAAATGAGAATCGCGGTTGAAATATAGCCCGTTCAACATTTATTCCTAAAACCCTAGCAAAACCCTACGATACAGAAATGGGTAAAAAAAAAAACTTTTTCCATTGATTCTAGCAACATACCGCATTGGGAGATGGAGAAGAAGGGAATGAAACTGACTGGAGAGGGTAGACAAGTTTTGAGGCCTTTCCCAAGCAGAGAAAAGCGGGGAGCTTCGGGAGACACTCCTGGAAACTCGAGAGAAAACCCTAGAGAGGAACATCGCTTAAGAAGAAGACGATGAGGAAATGGAACTGCTTGAGCTTAAAAAAAGTTGCAAATGGGATTCAGTTTAGACAAAGGCAGGAAGCTATTCTCAGTTCTCAGACCAGCGAAGAAACAAGAGAAAGGACGAGATGCTTGAGAGAACGAAAATCTAATACGGCTTGAGAATTTTAGGGGTTTTGAGATTGCCCCTGTCGTTTAGGCGTTAAACGATGACGACAGTGGCATTTTTAGAAGCTTCAGATTTTTCTAATTAATTCTTAATTAATTTAAAATAAAAAATTGATGGAAAATTGGAAATTACATAACTCACCAGTAATAAATAGTGTGGCTTATTTTATGATCGGCATAAATTAATAAATTAGTGGAATTATTTACTAATAAACTTTTTGGTCTTTTGGCCAAATTTACTAATCAGCTTAAAGAATATGTAGTTTTTTTTTTCAACAGTGTTTTTTTTATTTTTGGTATGATCTTCTTTCACAAGTCATAATAGTTTTGCAAACGTCTATAAAGTTTTTTACTCTTTTTTTTTTGGACTTAATTTGGATAGTTGAGAAATGGAGATGGGAGAACACAAGGAATAAAAACTTTTTCTTTCCCGGGTAAAGTACCAATCGTGAAAATTTTATACTTCTTTGTTAAAAAATATAAGACATTTTTAATCGAATCTCATCCTTAATAAAATAGTTATCTATTTTTCAACCAATCTATCTTTTCATATTTATCTTTATTAAATACTTTACAATAAATATAAAATTATTATTAATAGAGACACTTTAAAAAAAAGACAATAATTATACCTTAAAAGATTAAAAATATTTTATATTTTTTAACATCTAACTTTTTTTAAAAAATATTTATATTTTTAAATTGAGGGAGTATCAATCATATCAAGAATAATTTCAACTGCCACTGACCTAGGCCCAATTATTTTTTCCAATCAGGCCCAATATAATATGTTACTTGAAAGAAACCCACACAATGGGAAAGGGATTAAACTGAGTAACCGACAGTGTTTAATTGTTTATAGACAAAATCATACCAACAAAAAAATCACTGAAAAATCACATTGAAAAAATATTTCTATTTGGATTTAATAATACCTAAATTTGGTGTAATCATATTGAACATAGGAACAAAATAATTTTTAAAAAATTAGAAAAAAAGAGGAAGGGACCATCGCACTGATGAAGATTCCATAACGGATTCCTAATATGTTCATGGAATGAAATAAATCTTGACAAGAACACTCACATCTTAGCTACTTTTATGGAGTACCATAGTAAGTTGAAGGATGCAATATGGAGAAACAAGATGGACCTATTCTTGATGGGGCTAGAATCCATCAACAGATGATTGGCTAGAACTTAATGTGAATGATACTTTCTCCAACTTAATAGTAGTTCTAGATGTGGTATGCTGATTTGTGACTCCACAGGAGAATTTAGAGCAGCATTTCTTTATAAGATGAATGATGATGACCCACTCTGTGTTGAATTGTGGGCTTGTATATGGGGTCTTAAATTGGTTTTAGATATTGGCTATAGGAAGATTATCATGAAATGTGACTATTTGGAGGTGATCGATGCAATACATGATGACACACCCCTTGAACACTCAAGTGCTGGAATTATCATTGAAATTCGAGCACTTTTGGTTCGAGAATGGTGGTGCAAAGTAAGAAAATTTTGAGAAATGCAAATGAAGTTACTAATATGCTTGTCAAGATGACTCTTTCTTGTGTTTTGATTTTCATCCTGTCTTCCCTTCCTTTTGGCTTAGATGTAATCCTGGTACAAAACATTAGTATGTTGTCTGTTTCTGTTTGTCCCCTTGTTACCAAGGGGGGGAAAAAAGAAATAAATAAAACTTAGAAAAAAATGCCCGACTTAATGAATATTTTTCTATTATTAATATTACAAGTATTTTTTAATTTACAACACAAATAAATGTTTAATCTTTAACTAACTAAACCGTACAATTTTTCAAAATCAGAAGTAAATATAATAAAAATATTTGATTTGAAGGATGTTATAATTATTTGTTGGATTTTTTGTTATTACAACATTTTTTCATCGAATTAGATATCGAAAAGACATTCTCATCCCTTTAATATACATGTCAAATATCCAAATCTAATCATTGAATGGACAGCGATTTATTTAATTAAAGATAATTCTCATTCTCGTTTTCGATCTTATTCTCATTTTCAAGCCAACCTAACAAAAGTTACTTTGTAGATGAGCTTAACAATGGGCACAATCTATTATCGTATTTAAATCCTGCGAGTGACTTAAATTCACTCGCTTAATGAGTATTTTAATCACATTTATGAGATTTTATCAACACTTAAAAATTATTAAGATTTATTTTTTTCAAAAAATTCAAAACAACTCTAATGAACTGAGCACACCTCATGCACATTGTTTCCCTCCAAAAATTTGAGTTTTGATGCTTTTCAAATGTCACATGATAAAATCTTTTACATCCATTCAATTTATAACTTAAATAGTTATTATCACATCACACAGGAGATTTATTGAATGAATGAATTTGTACCACTCATTAAATTTAGAAAAAAAATTATATACTTAATCTTATATATTAAATGTGCTTATTTTCAATTAAACTAATACATGTGTATCTATCACAGATTATTTATTTTATAATAAATTTTTGTTATTAATATTATTAACAAATTAAAATTCATATGTCTTGATTTAATTGAATAAAAATATATTAAGCATATAAGGATAATTATATAAGTATTGTCCTTTGATCTAAATCCTCCATTATTAGACCCATTGGGCGTGAATCTAGGAACAATAATCATCAACACATGTACAATCTTTTGTTTTATTGGGAGAATGTGAGGGCCTTCAGAGGAAAGACAAAATAGTATTGAGGTTCGAAAATAACTGAAAGTTCATCAATGCATCACTATAGATTGATTGATTCACTTATGTATAGATGAATTTTCGGTTGTATTATCATTCTCCCTATTTTATTTATCATTTTATATTCTTTTTAACTTTTGATTAGTCTATTTCAGAATATACTAATAGTAATTTTGAGAGCAATTTTTTGCCGTAAAAAAGATGTTCTTAATATTGTAATAAAGGATTATTGAAATATTATAAGCTAAAACCAACAGTGGAATAGGTGAGTCATATTTTATTTGTGACTCCATGCAACCTGTAACGTCAACTTTCCCGTGATGGCCTTCGTGAACTATTTGCGCCGTTTTGCCCATAACCACGTTTTGTGACAAGAAACCTTTTATATTTGTCTCTTGCCAATGCCATTATTCATTGGTTCATTATTTTTCTTCTGCAACCAGAATTTTCTTTAAATCTTTAAGAATGTGGAGGAGATACATATATTTTTTTTAAATTGACTAAATTAAAAAATTCAATTTTTTAAAAAATTAATTAAACCATTTTAATGTCAAGCTACAGTAAAAAAATTACGAAAAAGCTGCAATAAAATTTAAATTGTTAAAGTTTGATTTAAACGGTTCAAATCAAATACACACACTTAGCATGATTATTAATTCTCATCAACGAGCATGCATGAATATCCCTCATCAGTTCATGACTAGACCGATCATCGAGCTTTGCTGCTTGAATCAAGAAAGCTCTTTCAATTTTTTTTTTTCCTTTTTGCATACACATATATTCCAACTCCTCATAATTAAGTTCTCCCTCCATCACAAATTATAAGAAACTTTTTAGATAAAAATTTTATACATCAATAAAACTCATTAAATATATTTTACAATCTTATTTTTTCAAGATAAAAATATAAACTTTTAAAAATGCCCTTTATTTAATACTTCATTGATAAAAAAATTAAAAAAAGAGAATATATGGTAAGAGTAATATTAAAAAAGTATCATTAATAAAATTTTATTTTTGTCAAAGTGTTTTATATTTTAAGACACTGAATTTTCTTTAAAAGTGTCTTATAATTTGAAATAAAAGGAGTATAATATAAGTTATTAGATAGTTTAATATAACTTTTTTATTATTAGTAAAATGAAAGGCAAAAACCCAATAGTTAAAACAATAGGATCTGCAAGATCAAAGAATGTCGCATGCTAGTTTATGATTCTAACATGATATCTTCGCATCATTTTGCATTTGATAAGCATATCGCAGGAGCCCATTGACATAAATGTCGGCTTCTCCGAATACATGATCCTAAGATATATATCAATCGTACATGATTAATCTCCAAATATAATTAACTTGTTGGAGATAATAGTGTAAACGTGTGTGTAACGGTTCAAACTTTAACGGCATAACATTGCATTATTTATGACCGACTTGATATAATTTATACCACGAATTTGCGTAAATGGGACTCAAATGCGCCTTTTGTAACTAACAAACACATCAAAACACTCCCATTGATATCAAAAGAATCAAAATCAGTCCGAGGACTCCATTAATTTCCGGCTCCAACAACGACCTGAAGTCTGATATTTACAAAGAATATTGTTGATCACATAGGAAAAAGATCAAGAACAAGAAGACGACGGGGACGACTACGACGAAGACGAAGAGGTAAATGGCTTGCACTTGCAAATTAGCCATTGATAGTATTCTCATAGTTCATGTTATACTGGGAATTGTGGTGTCTATCATCACATCTGCCAAGGTTCCGGCGATTATAGTGTTCGGAGACTCGTCGGTGGATGCGGGGAACAACAATTACATACCGACGATTGTGAAGAGCAACTTCGAACCGTACGGTCGAGATTTTTACGGCGCCGAACCGACGGGCCGTTTCTGCAATGGCCGTCTTCCAACGGACTTCATCTCCGAGGCATTTGGGATAAAGCCGGTCATTCCTGCGTATTTGGATCCTAAGTTCAACGTCTCCGATTTTGCCACTGGCGTTTGTTTTGCTTCCGCCGGAACCGGCTTTGATAATGCTACCTCCGATGTCCTTGTAAGTATCATTAATCATGATCATTAATTCATTAAAAGAGTTTCAACTACTTTCCACCAAAAAAAAAAATCAAATATCACCATTTAGTAACATCGTACTTATAACTAATTACTGCAAGTTAATATAAGGTATTTTTAAAATTATAAATTATTTTAATTAATTTACACTCTCAATAAGTTTGTTAATATAATTTAAAATTACTAAATGGGAGAGTATATAATATAAACGAAATTTCATTATTTTTTCTTGGAGAAGATAATATACTCAATTTTTCAAATTTCAGATTCCGCCTAGTTGATAGTCCATGTATAATGATATACAACATAATTTTGCATCTTAAAAATACTCCATATCGATAAGAAAAACATTTAATTAAGTATTTTTTGTGATTAAGAGAATATCAAAAGAAATTGTTAAAATTTAAATAAATACGGTGATCTAGTTAATCAATATTAATTCACATCTAAATTATTTTAATAGTTTTTACGTGAAAGCAAGCACACACTAATAGTATATGCACCAGTTTAGTTAATGTATATACATATTTAGATAAGCTAAATTGCTATTTCTAACACTTCCACGCGTACCAAAAGATATTTATTTAATTCTCGGAGAGAACGAATTGAAAATAATTATTATGGGTAGGCTCATGTTTACATTCGTTAATCTTTTTATATATACTAAATGTATTATATACATTCATCAATGTTTTCAGTCAGTGATACCTCTATGGAAGGAACTAGAATACTACAAGGGATTTCAGAAGGAGCTAAAGGACTATGCTGGAGAGGAGAAGGCAAAGGAGGTTATAAGAGAATCACTGTACCTAATCAGCATAGGGACCAATGATTTTCTGGAGAACTATTACTTACTTCCCAAGAGGTCATCAGAGTACTCTATTGAAGAGTACCAGAAATTCTTGCTGGGAATTGCAGAGAGTTTCATAGCAGAACTTTATGAGGTAGGAGCAAGGAAGGTATCCATAGCTGGGCTTCCTCCAATGGGGTGTCTGCCTCTTGAGAGAACCAGAAACTTCATGTTTGGGAGTGAGTGTGTGAAGGAGTACAATGATGTGGCAAGAGATTTCAATCACAAGTTACGAGATTTGGTGTTGGAGATGAACCAGAACCTCCCTGGGATTCAGTTTGTCTTTTCAAATCCTTATGATATCTTGTGGGACATTATCCAGAATCCTGACTTTTTTGGTAAGGAAGCTTCTCATTATTGACACACACACACTTCCTCTTATCCTATTTATAAGACACAGGAACAACATTTTTTTTAGATCCTATTTATAAATTACATTATTAAATTTTAATCAAAAATTACTTTTTTTACCTTCTATTGAATGTTAGAGAGAGAAAATATATTATTAAAGTATATATATTTAATAGGACCAAAGTTGAGAATCTTTTAAATTTTTAGACAAAGTTAACAAGTTTTAAAGTTTTATTTAATTTTGACGAAATATATTAAAAGTGACTTAGAAATAAAATCGGATCAATATATAATTTGTAATTTTTCTATGTTTGAATTGGGTTTAATCTTTGATTCACTTAACCGCAATAGCATACACTTGAAGAGAATTGCACTTACTGATCTTAATTTTCGCTTCTTATATGTAATTGTTTATTAACCATTGTATTGTAGTGTATTGATGTTTGAGTAATTGGTTGAGGAAAAGATTCAATTTGGGAGAAAATGGCAAATGGAGATTCAAAGAATATGATTATTTTAGAAGAAACTGAGATGGTAATCTACACATGTGGGTTCCAAAGCAAATGCGATATTACGTGCTTTGGTAGAAAATAACATGAAATCTTCTATAAAAATTGAGAAATAAGTTACATTACTATGATTTGTCAATATTTCAATTTGATATAAACTTTAAATTTTGTTTATATTGATGAGTTTGATATTTAATTAAAACTAGATTATCGATCATTTTTACATAAATTCAGTAGTATAAAGGATAAATCTATTTATTTATAAAATTTCTTACATTTCAAAAAAAAAATACTATCTAATAATCCACATTGTTTACAAACAATTAATCATGCAGTTTACTTATTGCACTTGCGAGTGGCCTAAAAGCTAACTATATTTTAAAAAAATTATTCAAAAACCGATTTGTTTGATACAAAAGCTGTCAGATTAGATACATCAGGTTTCCAATAAATGAAATATTCATAATAGTAGATGTGGACTTGTAAGGTCAGACCAAACCAAAACAGCATGAGCATGTTCTGGCAAGTTGTTTCAGTTATAATATTCTGATTTACTTGTTATTTTATATTTGACTTGCATGAGTTCTTTTTTTATTATTAAAAATTAAAAAAAGACAAAGCAAAGCAAAACAAAACCTTCTCATAATTCCATACTTACAAAATGATGCTTAAATTTTGTCACAAGACTATTACATTATGATTTTTGTATAAATAATGCAGGATTTGAAAATGTGGCAACAGCATGTTGTGGGACAGGATTATTTGAGATGAGTTACTTGTGTGATAAGTTTAATCCATTCACTTGTACAGACGCTCATAAATATGTATTCTGGGATGCCTTCCATGTCACCCACAAGACTAATGCCATTATTGCTGATCATTTGTTTCATAATTATCTACTTCAATTTCAACAATTACCATAGTATAGGCATTGTCCATAAACATTTGTTGTATATGTGATAAAATTAGAGCTTATTTTGGTTGTAGTTTTTTAATCGTTATTTCAGTAATCATATACCCAAGTATAACTTTATCTCCATTTTTTTCAATATCAACTTCAAAAAAATGAGAACTTAATTTATCATCTACCTAGTTCCCCAATTTTTTTTTTTTGGCCAAAACCTAGTTGCCCAATTCGATTCATACATATATACATATTATGTATGAATGAATTAATAATGACAGCCAGTAGAAAAATAGATAAGTGAATTAACTCAAGATGCTAGAGGAATAAAGAGTAAAAAAGCTTGGTTTTTTGTAGAATGAAGACGGTCAAATGGCTTGAGGGATTGAGGCTTATTTAAGAGCTTTATGGAAAATGAAATATGTGACTAATGAGTCGGTGGCGGTTGGGAAATGATGGGCAAATGAAATAAAGTATTACCAAACGTGAAACAAAACCACAAAAATGGGAGTCACGCCTTTCCAAGACCACAAGTTGGAGGACTCTAGTAATTTGGGTGTGTTGTGAGATAGGAAATGGAAGCTTGAATAGAACCTTTGAAGTTTGAAGCATACAAACAATAGTTGGATTTTTTGTTCAACCCCTTCCATTGTCAAGATAGGAAATGGAAGTTTGAATAGCACCTTTGAAGTTTGAAGCATACAAACAATAGTTGGATTTTTTTCAATCCCTTCCATTGTCAAGAAGTCAAGAACTTATTCTTTCCTGTAAAAAAATAGGTGAACAGAAGTTGTTTCTTGTTGACGACTTTATGTTTCTCAATTCATTTTTTTTTTTAATTCCTTTCAACTCTACAATCCATTCAGCCTCTAAGTTTAGTCTGGTGGTAAGCAATGTGAATAGTTAGCAAGAAATGTTGGGCTCAAACATCTGCTCCATCATGTTCTAAAAGATAAAGATAGCATGCAAATAGTAAAATATAAACTAATTTGGATTCTCATCTTGCGCAAGAGGCTGCTTTCTAAATAGGCAGACAAGGTGATTGATATCATACATTTACTTGGGTGCTTTTGGAAAATGCAGCTTGATCAGTTCAGGAAGTTCTGCCAACTCAACTTGAGATCTTCCCGACAGAATACTCTTCAACTTTTCATCACAGTTCACCACATTCTTATTGTTCGCATCCTACAAAATTAAAGTAACAACTCCTAATTTAGTCACTTCTAGTGAAGATAAATATGAATAAAAATTAAAAATACCCAACACGTGACTCAGAGCTCAACATAAATAATGCTGTATGCTACACATTGTACATTCATAACTTTCATTTAAAAAAAAAAAATCCAGGCTGGTAAGTTGAAAAAATTGGATCATGTAAGTTTAAATATGTCAGAAGAAATTTACTCAATTTCTGAGTGATCTTTCATCAACACCTATGGGTCAAACAAGACATAGAAATGAAACAGGTAATATACAAGTAACCTCTCAAGTTTAACATAGATATGCTAGAACACTTGCTCATGAACATTACACTATCAGATCAGTAGGAAGCTTTCCAACTCTCAGAGTCTTTTTTTTTTTTTTGGATGAAACCCTCTTAGTTTCTTAATTGCAAACAGCAGAAGAATGTCGCTCCAATAGTTCATTATTTCTCTCTCCTACCTTTTATTTGTTGTCCACCATTTTTTTTTAAAAAAAAAGATGCAATATTAAATTCGATTCAAAGTTTAAAAGCAAAACCAGGGTATTTTTCATGAAACCCCGGATTCAGAGCTACAACTTTACACACTTAAACTTCTCATTTAAGGAAGAACGTCTTACGCTTCTGTGATCAATAACAGAGGGAGAATCTGCATTTTAAGTAACTTCAGCATCCAACCATACCTCAAACTCGAAATGACATTTTATGAAGATAAAAAATATATATATATAAATATTGATAACATGTATCAAAGAAGATGATGTTTCTGAAAAGACTAAACCCCATTTTGGACCCTCTAAATTTAACCACAATATCTACTGGCTCAATCAAAAAAGTTTTTTTTTTTTTTTTTTTGCATCTCTTTAGCATTCAAAATTTCAATTTTCTTACAACTGCATAGAATATTCGATCCCCCAAAGATCATACAGTAACACCATAGTGCCTATTTTTGAAATTAGAATAAATTTTGAATTTTGAGTGTTAAATCGATTTTTGAATAAAATCGAGAGAGCATATCAACACTGCTTTATCTTTTGAAGGAAAAACGAAGTTTAAGTCTAATAGAAAATGAGTTCACCAAATGTAATAATGCAAATCAAGAAGACGAGAGAGAAAATGAAACCTGGAGATTATTCGTTTTGATGTAGGACCAAACCCGCATAAAACAGCCTAACCGAGAAATTTGAGACTGACCCACAAACTCTCGAAGTGTTGAGGGAAGATTTACAAGGTCAATCAAATTAGCTAGCTTCTTTGGATTATCAGTGATGGTCTTCTTCATCCGCTGCGGAAGCATTCTTCTGTATCCACAAATCGCTCAAAACCTGAAATTCCCATGGAGACAGCCATTCAGTAACATTACTAGACTGCTGGATCAAAGTAAGCAAACAGCAGATTCATAAAAGCGTGTCGCACGCAAATTCTACCACAGAGGCGGCTCTTGCTCGAGGTTCCATCGCGATAGGAGAGCAGAGGTGGTTTTTAAATTCACAAGTAAACTCAACACTTCTCATAACTAAAAATATAATACAAAGTGCAAAAAAAGGAACGATATTAATATTACTCATAGCGAATTCAAATATTAATATGCAACGCAAGAAGTAAGCGAAGCATCCAGTATAATCCGCAGGCAAAGAAGAAACTAATAGTTAATAAACGAGTATCCTCACCGGCAGAGAAACGCCAGTTCTTAGCCTCTATTGATGTGCAAGGATGCTCCCAGTCCCAAGTCCGAACCCCTTCGATTCTCTGCTTGCAGAGCGATTTGGATTTTGGAGGTCGAACTGGGTCTTTTTAAACGCACCGTTTAATGGTCTTCTAAGTCATTACAACAGGTCACATTACATAAAAACTATAGAGAATCATGTACAAGGATAACACAAAATCAATTGTTGTTGAAATAAAAATATGAGTTATGTTTTTTAATAAAATTTATTATTAATTATTATTTATAAATAATTTTTTAAGTGGCCCTTAGAAATAATTTTTTTATAAATTAATAAGAAAATATTTCTTTTTTAAACAGTTAGAAAATATATATTTTTCTATCATTCACTTATTGTGACAATAAGAAATATTACAAATAAAAAATTATATATTTTAAAATTGTCTGCTATTTATTCAAAATAAAATATTAATCAATAATCAATATTCTCGAATTTTACAAACTGCTAGTAATTCATATTATTCATTCTAGCCCGCTTGCTTCTCCTGCTATTTTAGATTTCCCACCATGCACGGATCCTTATTTAATAAAATAAATAATATATAATAAATTGTATTATTTATAAATTATAAATAATCAATTTTATTTATTTATTTTTTCGAAGAAGGCAAACATTAATTAACGGAACATACATTTTATTTCTTACATTTTGTGCAAGGAGATAGCACAATAAGATGGTGTAGAATGGTAGGGTTCTGCTCCCATCTAAATTTTTGCCCGTACACAGCTCTTATGCATTAAAATGATGGAAAATTTTATATGACCTTTAAATCCACATAAGAATTGACAAAATTTTGTTGTATAATGCTTTAATTTTATTATTCAAACTAACTATCTCATCACACACAACAATTAATATAATTGACTATTACCATTATCAATTACTACCACTATTATTGGTTGCCGTTGTCATTAATGATTGTCATTATCACTACCTCCATTAGCTTTTCCTCATCTCTCATCACCAGTTAGCCGTCATCACTATCACCATATTCACTATTATATCTATCATTATTGACCACTATTATTTATCACCATTGTTGGTTGTCACCACTATTATTATTGCATATCCATCAACACCGCCATTATCATCATTACTATCATTGGCAACCATTGTCATTAACTATCACTCCCGTCACCTCATACGATAATATCATATCATATATCACCAAGCATAAGATCTTATTTAAAATGCAAATACATCATGTTATACAAAATGATACCAAACATGGCATGGTATAGCAAATAAGCCGCATGTTGTGTGTGTATGCTATAATGTCAGAATCTGTCTGATCTCATATTTGTTGTACCAATTCGATCGAGTAGCTCTTAAACTTAGTGTGTTTAGTTTTTAGTTTGTCAAAAGTTAGTTTGATGAAAGTTCATTTTGTAAAAGTCAGTTGTTATAACGAAATTTGTGTTTGAATATATTTTATTAAAAGTCAGTTTGACAAACTAAAAGTTGTTTAGATTAATAAAAATTTAGGTTTTTAAAATGTACTTTTAAATATGTAATGACCAAGAAGGACATTAATTTATGATAATTAATAATTTTTATTATACAATGTAATATATTAAAAATGTTAAAAAATGCAAGGATAAAAATATAAAATTTAATATTGGAATAAATTATGTAATCATTTTACTATTTATGTATTTTATTTATTTATTTTACTATTTATTATTTACTATTTATATATTTTATTTATTTATTTATTTATTTTCAATCTATGAAACCTTTTCGTTTTGATTTGTTTCCTAGTGCTTTTTTTCCTTCCGTCGGAGATTAATATTTTGGGTGTGTAGTTTGAAGACAGAGACGGTTGCATGACAGGAATGAGAAAATATTTGAGGGTATTATAGTCAAATGTAAAATCAGGCACCGGTCTTTAGTGCTTTATATCTACATTTCCATTTCAAAAGCTATCCAATGAAACGTCCAAAATTTCACATTTCAATTGGGTTAAAAAGCCATTTTAAAAAGTACATTTGCTCCCATAAAATTATCTCAAACAACATTTTACATTTCAAAAGTAAAAAGTTACTTTTGAAATGTGAAACGGTTACTTTTGAAATGTGAAACGGTAATTACCCAAATGGTGCCTTAGTCATAGGGATTTTTGAAAGCC